GGGGCGCGGCATCGAGTGGCACCAGCACTAATGACGGGTTTGCATCACGAGGCCGCGCGGCCGGCCGGCCGGAGGGGGAGAGTGTTTCCAGACTCCCCGGAGGTCCAGATTTTAACTCATCTCGTACGAGGTGGAGGGACGAGCAGGGACCACGGACCACCGCAGACATATTATGTCATTTTTTTTTCTCTCTCTTTCTTTCCCACCGTGTTTGTCGGGGAGAAAAAGTCGCCCTCGGCCTGTTGCTCGCGCTGCTGCGGGCGCCGCCGGCAGCCGCCAGGTAACACAACGCTGCGGGTGTCGGGTGACTGACACTCACCCCCCCCCCTCCCTTGCAACCGCATACCCACACACCCTCTCCCTCTCCACACCAAATGGGAAAGGCATAGTAGAGGGTAACTGGTAGTTTTGCACCAAGAAGTTTCGTGCTAATCATATAGTTTTTTAATGGACGATTTGTATCCAATCTGGTAATTAAATAAGTTTACACCGGCTCTCCCTTCTTCTCACACGCACATATCGAAAAACACAGTAGAGGCAGAGGCGTGGCGAGTCGCTTGGTCACCAGACCTCGTCCAAAAGCAGGTCCTGCTGAGCATTTTAGGGCGTGGACGCATTTACCCAGTTTTCACCGCGTTCCACTGCGTTTGAAACGTACAGGCCAACACGAGGGGGCAATAACTCCCTTTTGAAGTGTACACATGATTCCCGAAATTCTTGATTCCCGGTGATTCCCGTCCGCTTATAAATAGTACATAGGTTTTTCGGGGGGTTTTAGTGGTATAAAACGCTTATTTCGACTGATTTGTACTTATTTCTCTAGTTTCCCGCTTATTCTAAGCGATTTCTATTGATTTTGATCAATTTTTATCCTGACGATTCCCAGACAGGTGTACACATGATTCCCGGAGTTATTCCCCCCTCGGGCCAACATTCCAGCCCGACGCAGGCAGGCCAAGCTGATTACTGGTGATAATGAGGCAAAGGCACAGGCAGGGGCAAAAGCTGCAAAAAATAAAAGCAAGCGGCTTTTTTCCC